TGGAGCCTTAGCCACTTGAGCCACAGGCACCGAGCCAGTCTATGGGTTTATATGCAGCTTTTGCTACCCTAAGGGGAGCAAGGGTTTAGGGCAAATGGAATGTGGAGTCCCAACAGTTTGTTGCCAGGGGCCTGAGGGCAGAAGATAATTTTAAAACTTTCCTCTGGGGCAGCGCCTGTGGCTCAAAAGGGTAGGGTGCTGATCCCATATGCAGGAGGTGGTGGGTTCAAACCCAGCCCCGGCCAAAAAAAAAAAACTTCCCTCTGGTAAGAATGTGATCTTGTTTGTTTATGGTATATTCTCTGCTCTGGGAGTGGTGCTCAGGTGGGACACTGATCTGGTTTAGGGTGTGTTCTTTGCTCTGGGAGTGGTGGCTTTGGTAGGAGGCTAGTCAGACTGGTTCTTGGACATGCTTGGGTACAGAATATGTGGTTGAGCTTGCTTTGGCCTAGAAAATGGCCAGCCCTGAGTGAGGAAACCTGTATCAGTTTGTCTCAAAAACAAAACAGTCTCACTCTGTCTGTCACCCCAGGTAGAATGCCCTGGCCTCACTGTGCCCAGTTCTGTATCAGTTTTGTTTTTTTTTTTAAAGACAGTTTCACTTTGTTGCCCTCAGTAGCAACCTCCAGCTCTTGGGCTTAGGTGATTCTCTTGCCTCAGCCTCCCAAGTAGCTGGGACTACAGGTGCCCACCACAATGCCCAGCTATTTTTTTGTTGCAGTTTGGCCAGGGCTGGTTTGAACCCACCACCCTCAGTATATGGGGCCGGCACCCTACCCACTGAGCCACAGGCACCGCCCTCTGTATCAGCTTTCTTTCTTTCTTTCCTTGCCTGCGCCCTACTCCTTTGAGCCACAGGCGCTGCCCTGTATCAGTTTTCTAATGTGGCTCATGTCTGTAATCCTAGCACTCTGGGAAATCAAGGCAGAAGAATCACTTGAGCTCAGGTATTAGAGATCAGCCTGAAGAAGAGTGACACCCAGTCTTAATAAAAATAGAAAAATGAGCCAGGTATGGTGGCAGGTGCCTGTGGTCCCAGCTACTAGGGAGGCTAAGGCAGGAGGAGCACTTGAGTCCAGTGTTAGTCTCTCTAAGGCTGCAGGGGGCCCGGACATTCATTAGGTAAAGAATAGAACTCTCCTTGCTTTTCTGGTTCTGTTCAAATAATCCTTCCAGATTATAGATTTCCAGTAGATTACTCTCCAACCTTTTACAAGGCTTCCAGCAGATGACCTATTGATTTCTTCCACCACACCCTGAGTTATTGAGCTATAACTGACAAGCCCACCACCTCCAGCGCTACATGTATACCACACCCTGAATTGCTTTAAAGGAGACACCTTAGTTGGGCATGCTCATAATCCTAGCACTCTGAGAAGCCTAGATGGGAGGACTGCATGAGCTCAGGAGTTCAAGACCAGCGTGAGGAAGAGCAAGAGATGCTGTCTCTACTAAAAATAAAAAAAACTAGTCAGGCATATTGGTGCACCAAGCTATGATGCCACAGCATTCTGCCCAGTACTACACAGTAAGACTCTGTCTCAAAAAAAAAAAAATATATGTTCCACTGTCAGTAGCAGCCCCATCTGCTTGCCCATGCTCTTAATAAATCTCTGCTATTAACTCTACTTGATCTAGTTCTTTGCAGCACCTTCCCACCTTTCAACATCTAACACACCCTAGTCTTAGGATGCTATCAGCTAGGCTGACACCATGGGACTTCTAGGGCAACAGAGTGAGACTCTGTCTCCAAAAATAAAAATCAAAAAAGTCAGAATTCCAAGGGACCCTGACTGCCAAAACAATCCTGAAAAAGATAAACAAAGTTGAAGGACACACACTTCTGAATTTTAAAACCTACTACAAAGCTACAGTAGCCCAACTGCCCATCAACCCATGAATGGATTAATAAATGGTGGTATACGTACACCATAGAATACCATGTAGCCATAAAAAAGTCAGAGACTTCACATCTTTTATGTTTACCTGGATGGAGCTGGAACATATTCTTCTTACTAAAGTATCCCAAGAATGGAAAAAAAGTATCCAATGTACTTGACACTACTATGAAATCAATGTATAATCACCTACACAATCATAGGAATGGCAAAACATAACTGTAGTCCATAAAGTAGAAGGGAAGAGGAGAGAGAGGGGTGGGGAGAGGGGAAACAGGAGAAGAAAGGATATTCAGGTGGACCTCATCTAATGTGCATGATGCAATGATACATTTCAAAATTATTAAAAAATGAGTATAATTGTGATGGATGTGTTACTTGGGTCAATGCAAACATTTCACATTGTATATCGAAGCAGTACCCTGAACCCCATAAATGCATCAATGTACAAAGTTATGATTTAATAAAAAATAATTAATTATTAAAAAAGTCTAATGCCAAATACTTGTTGAATAAATGATGTAATTTATCCATAAGTGGAATAATTATATTTATATGATTCCTAATATTAAACTATGACATTCATAAATAAGCCATAAAAAAAGCTACAGTAGTCAAAACAGTATGGCATGGGCCTAAGGACAGCTATATAACCAATGAAATTGAATTGAGAGTATAGACATGATCTATACATCTAACATCAATTGTTTTGTTTTGTTTTGTTTTTCGTGAGACAGAGTTTCACTTTGTCACCCTTGGTAGAGTGCCGTGGCATCATAGCTCATAGCAACCTCAAACTCTTGGGCTTAAGGGAATCTCTTGCCTCAGCCTCTGAAGCAGCTGAGACCGCAGGCACCAGCCACAATGCCTGGCTGTTTTTATTTATTTATTTATTTATTTATTTATTTTTATAGAGACAGAATCTCACTTTATCACCCTCGGTAGAGTGCTGTAGCGTCACAGCTCACAGCAACCTCCAACTCCTGGGGCTCAGGCAATTCCCTTGCCTCAGCCTCCTGAGTGGCTGGGACCACAGGTGCCCGCCACAACGCCCAGCTAGTTTTTGTTGCAGTTTGGCCAGGGTCGGGTTTGAACCTGCCACCCTAGGTATATGGGGCCCATGCCCTGCCCACTGAGCCACAGGCACCACCTGCCTGGCTATTTTTTTGCTGCAATTTGGCTGGGGTTGGGCTTGAACCTGCTACCCTCCGTATATAGTGCAGGCGCCCCACCCACTGAGCCCCAGCCTGATTCTTTTGCCTCAGCCTCCCTAGTAGCTGGGATTACAGGCAACTGCCACAACGTGCGTCTATTTTTGGTTGTAGTTGTCATTGTTGTTTGGCAGGCCCGGGCTGGATTTGAACTGCCAGCTCTGGTGTATGTGGCTAGTGCCCTAGCTGCTTGAGCCACAGGCGCCAAGCCTGATCAATTGATTTTTGACAAAGGTCCTCTGTTCATCAAATGGTGCCAGGACAAAACAACCAGAAGTCTCCTTGCCCAAAGAAATCAAAGTAATGCCTTACTATGAATCAAAAACAAAACAGACAAAATGTCAGGAGCACTGGTTTCAGATCTGAACTCACCACAGGATCCCTGAATCACTGAATAGAAGAGGCATTCAAAAGGCTCACAAGTTGCCTCCACCTGGGTAGGGACGGCAGGGGTCTGTAGGTGAGGCCCTATCTTAGCCTTGACTCCGGGTAGGTACTAAAAACTGTCAAGTAAAAAATAAATCCCCATTTAGGCAAATCAAGACTTTATCCTAAACCTAAAGGATTATTGTAACAGGGAGAATGCCAAAACTATAAAATAAAAAATAAATATGAATTTAACTAAGACTTTAAGTGGAAGAGACTTAGTGCAAAGAGATTATCCCAAGAAGAGATTATTGCAATGGAGAGTGTGGGCGTGAGTGGATGAGGGGGATACTGTAGCAATAGGGAGAACTCCCTAACTATGATATCTGCAACTCTATCTCCTAGCTCAGACAGAAAAGGGCTTTTTGTGTGTGTGACAGAGCCACAAGCTCTCTCCCCGGGTAGACTGCTGTGGCATCACAGCTCACAGCAACCTCCAACTCCTGGGCTCAAGCGAGTATCCTGCCTCCCAAGTAGCTGGGACCACAGGCGCCTGCCACAACGCCCCGCCAGCTCAGGCGTATGTGGCTGGCGCCTTACCTGAACTACAGGCGTTACAGGCCTGGAGCCAGAAAAAGGCTTTTTTTTTTTTTTTTTTTTTTTTTTTTAGGGAGGAGTGAAAAAAACTTTCAAAAAACCCTGGGGGTGGGGAAACTGCAAGAAAGGTGGAGGTGGCAGTGATCAGACAATACCTGAGAAGTGTTTTATCAATCTTTAAGTGGGCCTACTTTCCAGAGTGTGGATGAGCAGGGTTGTTTGATAGTCTGAGCGCCAAAGTTTAGACACCTGGAATTGGGGCAGTGGCGAGCACCTGTAATCTCAACCACTTGGGGGATCCTGGGGGATGAGCAAACACACTGGAAATAAAAAAGAAAGAAAGCTTAGAAGCCTGGAGCAGAGATAACTTAGTTGAAGTATGGTCAAATCAAGGAAGCTGGTATTTTGTCCAGAATAGCGAGTACAAACATTTCAGCTAATCATTCATGAGGCAATGAATTGGAATTTGGAGGGCTTTGTGTCTGACCTTGTTATAAGCTAAAAAAGGGGACATCCGTGAACCGTGTATAAATCCTATGGGGAAGGGTGATTCCTGGCACTGGGCCTTTTCAGGGAAACAAAAAGGTGAGGGAATTTCTTTAACTATCGCTTTCCAGGATCCCAGGGCTTAAGTAAAGTTCAACACTGTCGGAATGCAGGGCAATCTCTGCATAGATTGGGTCAGAGGTTGAAAGGTAAGAAGACGCTGCGTTCTAGCTCCCAATCCTAGCTCCCTGCATTTTCCCAGCCCAGGCGAGAGGCAACAAACAGCGCGCACACATCAGGAAGAGGACTGCCGCCATTAGCGCGGATGGCGCCAGGGCCGGGAAAGAGCTAGAGCCTCAAGCCCGCGGGGGCGCGCTCTGGACAAGCCCCGCCCCGGCGCGCTCCCGCGGCGCGCGCTGCTCCGGTGTGCGCGTAGCTGGCCTCTGCTCGCCGGGCGGAGACCGAGGGAGGCGGGTGGGGTCCTAGCGGCGCGGCAGCGGAGCCGAGGCGGGTCTGGGGGTGGCGGTTCTTGGAGTCTGAGGGACTCTAGCCAAGCGGCCGTGAGATCGTCCGCGGCCCCAGAACGAATTGAGGCTGAGGCCGCGAGGCCGTGTCCGGAGGTGAGTTTCCTGGGGCCGCGGTGCGTTCGGCGGCGTGAGGGGCTGGGCCTCTGCTGGCCACCCGGCTGGTGCCGGCGCCCCCCTGGCGGGCGGTGG